TATATTACAATGTTGTAAAATTATTATTTTTACCATCTACAATGCATATGATAATTATTTATTTTGATATAACTAAGTTTATAATAAATAAATATTTTAAACATATAAACTATCTTTTGATTTACTATAAATAACTTATATTGTGATACAACTTATTTTTAATTATTGATAATTTTTTAAAAATTATTAAAATAAATATAAAAATTATATATTTAAAGAGACGAAAAGTTGAAAAATATTAAAACAAATATAAAAATAGTACATAAGAAAAAAATTTAAATTTTAAAAATAAAATATATTTTATTTTGATATTGAATAATTACTTCTTGCTAGATAATATATCAATCACTTGATATGAAAATTATAAGAAATATTTATATGATTTATACATTAAGGTTCTCAAAACATTTTTCCCGTGTTTTTCTTTGGATGATGTTTATATGATCGTGGCAATAACCAAATGACATTATTAGAGTATTACTACTTATCCATTAGATACAAGTGAAGATGAGATTAGGAATTTCCTAGCAGATCTTGATACATCTTTACTTTTCCTAGCGCACACAAATTTTGTGGTTCTTAACTCGGAGAACTAATGAGTTCCATGCATGTCTTATATTCGCAACCCATTATGGCATTAACTATGGTTTAATTTGTTTGACATTGTTCGGAAAAACAAGAGAAAAAAGAAAATATCTGAAGACACAAATGATAAGATACGCAGAATTGTCTGCCAGTTAGGGTCTCACTTTGTATTCAACTAAAGAATGGAGATTCACCTCCCTTTCGTCTATCATCTATGTCGTGTATCCACTCTTACAAACTTATTTATTCTTATTCTTAATGTTTTTCAACTTGGGATGTCGTGGTATGCTATGGTGTGCGTCTAACTTGCGCCGGGGTGCTTTTTAAATTCTAGAATTAATAAAGTGATGGAGATGAATTTTAAAGAACCCAATGGAGTTATAGTACTAGTAATTACTTATTAACATCTTAATAACTTCATAAATATACAATCAATGATTTTAATTGCACTAGATGATGATTAGGGTAATAACCATGAGTATGAGTAAAATGCTGCCCGGAATTCTTGTCTGTGGAAATATTCAACAGTGCTGTCATACAAGTTTTTGTGAGTGAATTTATTTTACTATTTATTTTGGTATACAAATGATACAGTAAACCGAATTTCTTAATCTGATAAAACCTACTTTAGGACATAGGTCCGAAAAAAAAATATATTAATGCAGCAAATGTATATTTTAAGAATGGCCAAAAGAAAGAATTACTTGGGGAAGATTCTTTACTACATAAAAAAATATATATATAAAAAAAAAAAGCTCCCAAAAAGTTGGTAGCATACCATACAATAACTGTAGTTTAAACTCTCATTTCTGACTTCTTCGTCTGTTCTGTTCTTGTATATATAAATACATCAACACTGAACACACATACGCACAGTCACTTGTTTAAATAATTTCCTGTTGCATAATTCGGAACCATTCACTCTGCGATTTTGATGTCAACACAATTGGAACATGATTACATAGGCTTAACAGAGGGTCCATCCATGGAGAAAAGCTGTGACAAGATATCCTCTTCAGTCTCCTCCAACCTCTCCTCTGAGGATGAGAACACTTCATCTCTGAACTTCAAGGAGACAGAGCTGAGGCTTGGTCTGCCAGGTTGTGGTGAGTCTCCTGAGAACAACAACTCAGGATCAGGTTCAGGTTCAGGTTCAGGTTCAGGTGCAGGGATCTCTCTTTTTGGCAAGGATTTGCAGAAGAAGCATAGTGGCTATTCTGCTTCTTCCAAGAACCTCAAGAGGGGCTTCTCCGATGCCATTAGCTCTTCCTCTTCTTCTGGCAGATGGATCTTCTCAGCCAGTGATGATGCAACGGATGAGGCTGATTTTGGAAATGCTTCTGCAAGATGCAACAAAGAGGTTGCTATGGTCCCTCTTCCTCACTCTGAGAAGCCACCTCAGGTTGCTGCAATCAATGACCATGCCACTGCTCCTGCTGCAAAGTAAGTTTTCATCATATACTATACGGAAAAATATAGTAATAAGGCCAAAATAGAACATAGAAGTAATGATAATCCTAACCTTACTAGTCTTAGGGTTGAGTTTGGCTCCAAATCACAAACTAAGATATTATCAGTGTCTATTCTAGATGCATTAAGGGTCATCCACGGTATTATTCACTCATAAAATCCAATAGCTTTCTCCACAAATTAACATCTATAGAAAAAGAAAATAAGAAAATAATGAATTGAACTTTTCTTATAGACTAAAATCACTAAATTTGTTTTGTTCATTTTTCACTGATTTTTTTTATTCTATTTTTAGCCTGCTGATATAGTTTGTCTGTTGAAGACGAAGTTTTCTACTGAAATTAAATTAAATATATTGGCTGTTAATTTTTAATTTTTTTTATGGATTGATAAGTGAAGTATGAAAGTTTTTGTTGTAGAGCACAAGTTGTGGGGTGGCCACCAATTCGATCTTTTCGTAAGAACACGATGGCGTATAATGTGGCAAAAATGAATAACGAAGGTGAGGTTGGTTGTCTGTATGTGAAGGTGAGCATGGATGGTGCACCATATCTCAGAAAGGTTGACCTGAAAACCTACACCAACTATATTCAACTTTCTTCTGCTCTTGAGAAAATGTTCAGCTGCTTTACCATTGGTATGATTCTCTAGTCTATTACTTTAATTAAAATGTTGTAACACCTATATGGAACGAATCGGACACCTAGCTAACCAATTATGACTCAAGTGTCATTACTGAATTAATGATGATCAAACTAGTTTAAGCTAGTAAAAACTTGTGTACGAACAATATTTAGTCCCCTTTTGACGAAATTTTTGTTCATGAAATCAGGTCAATGTGGTTGTGGTGCAGTTCCAGGGGAAGAGGGATTAAGTGAGAGTGCTTTCAGGGATCTTGTTCATGGCTCTGAGTATGTTCTTACATATGAAGATAAGGATGGAGATTGGATGCTCATGGGTGATGTCCCTTGGGAGTAAGTTATCTTCTTTGTTTCTAAATCCTCATCGTCAATAAATGACATCTTTTTTTACCATAAAAGTTGGTGCTTCAACCGGTCAACTGTAGTTTTCTTTTCAACTGTTTCCTACATTGCTTTCATAGACTTAGTTTTGTTCAATCATCAAAAACTTGTTTCTTTTAAATAGTAACGTCAATGAGTTCAATTTTATGTTTTAATCATATTATAGTTTATAAAAAAAATATATTAAAAAAAAAAAGTGATCAAAACATGCTATTAGTCATATGCTACAAATCTCATAGAATCATTCCATTACAACTGTAATAATTTGTGTCTTGAATCATGTTCCTTGCCTAATGCTGTGATAACTTGTCACTACAGGATGTTCACTGAGTCATGCAAGAAACTAAGGATAATGAAAGGCTCTGAGGCAATCGGGCTAGGTACATATAAACTTTAAACTCGCTTTTCAATTATGGCAATTTTTTTATGTTTTAAATGGAAGATTAATTAACTAAAAATATGTTGTGAATTGAATTTCGTCGCAGCTCCAAGGGCCATGGAAAAATGTAGGAGCCAAAACTAGTGGGAGATTCTGCTCGATCATTGGGAAGCATATAAAGGAGAATTTGGGTTTATGGTTCTGTAATAAATAAAACAAAACATGCGTATTGCGTCATGTAGCGTTTCAATTTTTGTGCGTTTAGAAACACTGATAAGTTTCAGTATCCTTGTGAATGCGTAGAAATAAAATATTTTTCTCTTTACTGTAACGACCCGGCTGGTCACTACACACACCACTGTACACCAAAAACGCCAGACAGAAAGGACAAGTATATAAATATAAGATCTAGAATATAAATATATACAAAGTCTCTATCCGACTAGAGTTAGAGTGTACAACACAAAGTCCAATCAATGCTACTATCCCAAGTAGCTACATAACAAAATAGTCACAAAAATGATCAGCTCTACTGGTCCGCCGAAGACTCATCCTTAGACGCCCACCTATCCCTGCTCTGCTCTCATACATAGTATGATCATCGCAGTCCAATATCATGGAGACAACAAAAGGGTAAGCTAGTGTAATTAAAAATTCAACATACAAATATATATATATATCAATATAAATAAACAACAGATACAATTATCAGCACACTTATACAGCTTATACCACTCAACAATATCAGCACCGCAATGCGGCAATATCAGCACTGCCTTAGCGGTTAGAATCAGCACCCATATGTGGCTAACAACAGCACCGACTTAGCGGCTATAATATCCCCCAACTCAGCACAGCCCAGCACAGCACAACACAGCACTTCAACACATCAATCAACTTAACAAAATTCATTTAAAGTACCACATTATTTAGCCATAACAGCACACATCTTCAGCATACACCTCATCAATCTTACAGCATAATCAGCAATCAGCACACAATGCGTCGTCACGCATATCAACTCGGAGATCTCCTACAGCAACTCAGCCATTATGGCCTACAACAACTCAGCCATTATGGCCTACAACAACTCAGCCATTATGGCCTACAACAACTCAGCCATTATGGCCTACAACAACTCAGCCATTATGGCCTACAGCAACTCAGCCATTATGGCCTACAGCAACTCAGCCATTATGGCCTACAACAACTCAGCCATTATGGCCTACAACAACTCAGCCATTATGGCCTACAACAACTCAGTCATTATGGCCTACAGCAATTCATATCAGCATTCAACACAACACAACTTTTGCAACTCAACATATCAACTTGCAACACAACACAACTGGACAACTCAACATCAACTTTCAACACAACTCAACTGTACAACTCAACATCAACTTTCGACACAACTCAACTGTACAACTCAACATCAATCAACCAACATCATCCATTAGTCATCACATTATATTCATCTACAACTCAACTAAGCATAAAACAACATTAACCAACATATATAAATTTCTCATCTCCGCGCCCGGCGCACTCATGGTCGCGCCCAGCGCGGTACAACCAGAGAGCACCAGGGGCTAGCGCGCCCAGCGCAGGTATGCCTGCGCCTGGAGGGACTCAGTCAGAGAGCCCAAGGCTCACACGCGCCCAGCGCATGTCAGGCAGAGACTCCCAAGAGTCTCGCGCGCCCGGCGTGCCCATACCCGCGCCCAGCGCAGGGAAGGCAGAGACCTCCCCTTGGTCTCGCGCCCAGCGCAATTCAAATTGCGCCCAGTGTTGAGTGTCTTTTTTGTATGATTTACACTCAACTTTTGGTACTCTTTTTGGTAATTGTAGATATTATATATGTTATTTTACCCCCCTTTATTTAAAGAATCAAGTTATACTAAAAGAGTAGAGGAGTAGTAGCAAAATCTTAAGGAATTTTCTCATTTTTTGCAGGTTTTTTAGGAAGGCAGAGATCCACAGCCATAGCTGTGGATCTGGAGCTCGAGCTGTGGAAGTCTGGGAAGAATATAGAGGTCCAGAAAGTTGGAGCTATAGCTGTGGATCTGCAGCTATAGCTGTGGAAATCTGAAATGTACTTTGAAGCTCCAGAGAGTTGAAGCTAAAGCTGTGGACTCACAGCTAAAGCCGTGGAAGCACCCAGGACCCAATAAAAACTCCAGAGACTCACAGCCATAGCTGTGGCTTCACCGCTTGAGCGTTGGAAGTTCCTTAAGATTGAAGGAGTTGTCACAGCTATAGCTGTGAACCCACAGCTGCAGCCTTGGAGGTTTCTTCACCCTGAAGGACTCTCCACAGCTATAGCCGTGGATCTGCAGCTGTAGCCGTGGAAATAAAAGTTACTTTTTGGCCTTGTTTTAAAGCTGATATAAAAGGGAACATGGGGGAGAATACGGATCACGAATTTAACAGAGAAAAACAGGGGAAAAGCTTGGGAAGAAGGAAGAACGAAGGAAGAACAGAGACTTGGAAGCTGGATCCTTTGGGAACGAAGATCAACTCCATTTCTTCATCCTTTGCTTTGTAATTTCTTCTTTTCACTCTTTGATTCTGTAATGGCCATGGGTGGCTAAACTTCTTAAGGATTGGTTAGATGTAACTACTAACTCCTCTTCTTCTTAAATATATGCATTTTGATCTCATTATTTGTGTAATGATTCTTCGCTTAACGCTTATATCGGCTTGATCAACCGTTGTATGATTTTTGGCTTTTGAATCCAGTTGGAAAACGCTTTCGAAAACCCGAACTGAATCTTGCACCTAATCACCTCTTGTTCTAGGAATAGACTTGATTTGGTTAGTCACATTGTTCAAGTTATTGTTCTTAATGCGAAGTGTTAGACTCAAAACATTGAGGAATCATGTTTTGAGCTTAATGACTTTAGGATTCAACCTTGAGGAATCTTGTTGGATTATTTAATGAACGTGGAAATAATGAAATTAGAATTGCATTTATGCTAAGAAGATCTATGAGTTAGCAAGTGCATCTGAGCCAATCCTTGTTTCTTAATCATTGTCTTTACTACATTTGTCTTATTGTGTTGTTTGAATCTGTTTTCACTCAATTGAATTTTTAAACTCATTCTCTTTTAAATCATTTGAGCGAGAGTTACTAAACACGCAAATCCCTGAGGACGATCTTTAAATACTACTTCGAAACTTGGTTCACTTGCCAAGTGATAGGTTTGCGAAAATCTTCATCACCCAGCGCCCACAGGGCAGGGACTCCCAAGGAGTCTCACGCCTAGCGCGACAAGGGTCGCGCTCAGCGCAACGCATCAATATCAGCATATACATATATATCCATTACAGTGTGGCATTTCATCATCAACAACATAAAATAGCATGATCAACAATTTCACAACGTACGACATGTTCAACACATACTCCGACCCAATCCTCTTATTTACAAATCATCTATCTTGTCAAATTACCCACCCAAACAACACCAATCAACCTAAGCACCTAAAACAACTTTAAACTTAACCAAATCACTAAATGGAAAATGGCAACCTTCACAGAAAATAACACATCATGAGTTATACTACTCCTACCATGCTCATCCTTATCTCATATGAAAGATAATCAAATTTCCTACAACTCTCATGAAGACACCAAGTCCTAATTCTTTCATCTACCTTGTTAAAAATTCTAAAAACCGCAACAGCTATACGTAATGCTGGCAGCTTGACCTCTCTTCACTAAAACAGCCATAACTGGAGTTCTAAAACTCCTTTTTGGGTGATTCCAGCGCCATTGGAAAGCTAACATCCAAGGCTACAACTTTCATGAAGACTATGAAGTCAATTTCGGAACTTCAAATGCGCGCTCAGCGCGTTCAAGTGCGCGCTCAGCGCGTCTCAACCAAAGACCTACAAAGGTCTATTGCGCCCAGCGCGGTTCTCCCCGAGCTCAGCGCGATTCACCCAGTGAGTCCCCATTTCAAGTCGCGCTCAGCGCGAAGAACTGCGCTCAGCGCGAATTCAAACAGCAACTCTCCCCAGTTCGAAAATTCCATCCAAAAACCTGCAAAATCAACTTTCCAGGCACATGCAATCGGTCCAAAGCATCACATTTCCATCCAAGAACCCAAAAATACTACCTTTTTCAACATGCAACAACAAATCACGGATTTCCCCAAATTTTCTCAAAAACCCCGAAACCCCCAAAAACAGGTTCTCATTCAACACAGCCACGAATCAACCATCCATAAGCATCTAATGAGTTTCTAGAACTCATCCACAGCCAAAAACAGCGACAAAAGAAAGAAAATTACTAGCTTCCCTTACCTTGATGCGAAAATCCGAGCTTCGGGACCACGGAGATCGGAGAAGAAGAGGAAACTTGAAAACGAACGGAGAAGAGAGACAATCTTCAGCTAGCTCTGCCTAAGCTTGGTCAACACCTTCAGTCCAAGGTCACCCCAAAGAAGAAAACCAGCAACAAGAAAAAGGAGAGGGTGAAAGTGAGAGTGAGTTGAGAAGAAGAAAATGAGTAAGGGGTTCACGGGTCTCACATTTACCTTTGTGGTGCACCTTTTTTTTGGATTCGTGTCATCAAGTTATAAAAGAATTGCTTTTTTTTCCTTCCTGTTTCCCTGTAGACGATTCTTCCCTGATTTCTTAAAAGTTTTGAATTGATTAAATTTTTTAAATAGGTCCTTTAACTAAAAATAAATTAAATTGAGTATTTCTTTATGTGAGTTTCTAATTGAATTTCTGGGGATTTTAAAATCCCTATAAATTGTCATTTTTTATCGTTGCAAGTCATAAAAACTAACTTTAAAGGTTTTTTTTTTTTTAAGTTTAGGGATCCAATTGAAAGAAGAAAAAAAATTATAAGAACTTATTTCAAAATTTTCAAATGTTTCATAAACCTCCTAATATATTCTTCTTAATATGCATTTGTTGAAATATAAAAATGATAAACATTTTGTACTTTGACCAATATTTTAATTTTGATGGGCATTTCCGATTAAGCCTTGAATAGGCTAGAATTTTTGATCTGGGAAGCAAAGATAAGGTGCAAATCAGCCCTTTTCCTTGAGAAATGAGAATCTTTGGAAGTGAAGTAGTGATCTTATTTCCTGTGAATTTGATTTGTCCCTTGTGTTCATTGACCTTTACTTTCCAGTAGCAACGTACAGCACCCAATACAAAGATAATCTTACCTTATAAGCATGTCGAAAAAGTCCAGCATTAGAACATAGGACTATGTTACTGTCTATATTATTCTAACTCTTCATCACTAGACCGATCATGGTGATTCTATTGTTGGAAAAGATTAATCCTTAAATATATATCTGTCTCG